AGTAACGTTTTTCAATCATGAATCAACCACCTGGTTACAGGACCATTTTTAAAATCTATGAAAAGTGTTTAACAATTGGAGGAAGTAAATTACATATCTTTAGAGTCTCTGAAGAGCTCGTTTTGCAAAATACATATTGGTAATTTGCGAAACGAGGGCACTTCTGACCTTTTGGCTCAAGCTCTATGTTCAAAAATCATCACTGCATCGAGTGGTATCTACAAAATCAGAAGAAATAAGTTACATATTGTTAGCGTCTTCCAAGAGCTCGTTTTGCAAAATACAGTTTTGTTTTGTTTCGCAAAATACTGTGTAAGCCCGAAAATCAAGATGGCAGTTTGTAAGGAAACAAGTTTAGTTCCCAGTTCTCCTCACTTTGATTCAGGATAAATCATGTGACATAAGGATGAAGCCATTTATCCAAAGGAATGTCACAGTCCAGCATCTCGCGATGACTTATGATGTCATCGCTTAAAAATAAACTTGGACTTGCCTAGGGCAAGCAAGATTTGAGAGCTGCTTAATTGTTCAAAGGGCAAGCTAGAATTCAATTGTTTTTGCAAGCCCTGATTAAATTTGTACTTCAAATCCTGCAACAAGATGCAAATGTGAAAAATGTGTGGTGAGGGCTGGGGCAGAGATACGTGTCCTTATTATTAGATAAATCTGGTTTCGTTGGGAATAAGGGAACTGTGTTTGTGTTGGGGGAGGTGTCTATAAGGAGAAGTTTGACTGTATTTCATTTGACTCTCAATTGTTTTGTTTGTGTTTTTGAACAGAACATAAGGAATTATTTCAATAAACACACAGAGTTTACAAGTTTGATGTGGTCCACAGCTGTGGCGATATTTGCTGTTGGTGGAATGTCTGGTGCTCTTGTTGGTCCAGTCATTGCCAGTTCACTAGGCAGGTGAGTTGCTCCCTTCTACATGTACAACGTAGCAGTTTTATCTTCATGGAACTCTGCACATTGAAGATTTATTACCTGAAGTAAACCAAGATAAAGAGAGTGCCTTTGACCTGTTCACTTCATAGCTTGAACGATCTCATTAGCTTTCAAGGCCTGGCTATTGCTAAAATCAGCATTTTTATATGAACAACTGAAGTTTTATAGGAGAATATAAGTAACGTAATGACAACATCCAGGTCGGTACAAAACGTGGACCCCTCAATCCGGACACCCTACTGGACCCCCTTTTGGACCCCTTCTGGACCCCTTCTGGACTCCCATTTGGACCCCCTGGACCCCCATCTTAACCCCTTGTGGACCCCTTGTGGACCCCCATCTGGACCCCTTGTGGACCCCCAATTGGACTCCCCATTTGGACCTCTTCTGGACCCCCATTTGGGCCCCCTTCTGGACCCCCTTTTTTCTCTTCTGGAAAATACGGGCTCTATTTAATCAGTAGGCATATTGGGAAGAAACAATGAATTCAGGCAGCGTTGTGAATAATATGATGGCTGCAGCCGCAGTTAACTGAGTTTAGTTTTTAGAAACCTGGTTAAAATTTTCAAATAACTTAACTTGGTTAAAGGTTGGTTGTGACGAAACAACGGGGTTACATTTTATGAGTGGCTCCATTGAAATAGATTATGAAGTGGGTGAACTCAATTGACGTCATGATGTAGATAAACCAACAAAATGACAGACTTTGAGAACTACAGTCTTTTATTTTCTTGATTCTTTTTCTGTTTTTGTGTCCTTCAGTTTCTTTACATTCACAGCTAAGGCAGTCTCTCTTCCTTCTCATGCACACTATAGGTGAATATCCCAGGCGGTTCTTTCGAACATGGTGTTGATTCTAAGATTATGCACTTGTTTGCGCCACAGTGAACAACATGTCACATACAGACCGCGATGACTGACACATTTCACGAAAAAGCCAACGCATGGCACTGATAAGAGACCACAAACCTGGGTTACACCACGCAGAAAGGTAGTTTAAAATTAAACTAACTCGGTTAAAAAATGTATTGTTCTTCAATTAATTTCCATGGTAACTGTTAACCCGATTTGAGTTCAATGAACTGCCAAAAATAGCGGCCAATTTTTGGGTAATCTGGTTTATTGTAACTGATTAATTAGAAATAGCCCGGTAACTCTCATAGTGCAGCCGCAGCCATTATATTATTCTAGACACAATGCTGCGTGAATTCATTAATTTCTTCACATCCTGCTCACTGATTAAATAGACTTCACCGTGTTATGTTCTAAGTTTAATTATTTAAATCAGGAGCCCATACTTTGTGGAAGAAAAAATAGGGGTCCAGATGGGGGTCCAAATGGGGGTCCAGAAGGGGTCCAGATGGGGTCCAGATGGGGTCCAGATGGGGTCCAAAAAGGGGTCCAGTAGGGGATCCAGATTGAGGGGTCCACATTTTGTACCCCATTTTGCCCACTGATTAAATAGACTGGGTCGGTACAAAACCGTGGACCCCTCAACCTGGACCCCTACTGGACCCCTGTTTGGACCCCTTCTGGACCCCATCTAGACCCCCTTTCTGTACCCCCATCTGGACCCCCATCTGGACCCCCTATTTTTTCTTTCACAAAATATGGGGTCCTGATTTAAATAATTAAACTTAGAACATAACATGATGAAGTCTATTTAATCCGGGAGCAAAATGTGAAGAAACAATGAATTCTTGCAGCATTGTGAATAATATGATGGCTGTAGCTGGAGTTAACTGAGTTTATTTTTTAGAAACCTGGTTAAAATTCCCAAAAAACTTAACCCGGTTAAAGGTTGGTTATGACAAAACAACGGGGTTATATTTAATGGGCGGCTGCATTGAAATTGGTTATGAAGTGAGTGAACTCAATTATTGATGTCATGACATGGATAAACCAACAAAACGACAGACTTTGAGAACTATGGTCTTTTATTTTCTTGATTCTTTTTCTTTGTTTTCGTGTCCTTCAGTCTCTTTACATTCATGGATAAGGCCGTCTGTCTTCCTTCTCATGCGCACTATACATGAATTTCCAAGGCAGTTCTTTCAAACACGATGTTGATTTTGTGTAGACGTCAGAGCGTTTTCCATCGCCATCGAATGAATCGTCCTCGAATTTGACTCTATCTGAAAAATCAGCCAGGATTTGAGAAATCACTAGGAATCTTGCCATGCGTGACTTTAATACCGTGGCTGTTATAGAGAGCACCTCAGAATGAACATCGAGTCCTTTCACTAAGAACTTGTCATATTCTTTCATTTATGACAAAAAGAAACATTTGCTCCTGAACATCTTTATCAACAGAGAAGTGTGAATTATGGCATCTAGGAACTGGGAAACGCTTTCAGTCTACAGCTTTTATGTTTGGAAAATGCAGCTCACTTAACATTGTTCATGAATTCATTCATTCATCTGCATTTCTTGCCATTTTAACGAACTGCCCCTTCGCTTTGACATATTCTTGTGTTCTTTGCAGAGGTCGATTAAAATTTCACCTTCTAAGGTGAATGAGTGCTTCTTGTTCAGGCCCTGGTTCAGGTGTGAAGGTTCCTTGCAAACTTGACTGATATGGTATAGCCAACACATATTAGGAAAAAACTAGAAATCCGTTCTAGTAATAAAACTGTTTCAAACTGTTGTTACCACTTGCCATGGCCAGTAGAGGATTATGCACTTGTTTGTGCCACAGTGAACAACATGTCACATACAGACCAAGATAACTGACACATTTCACGAAAAAGGCAAGGCACGGCACTGATAAGAGACCACTATGCTGGGTTAGACCACACAGAAAGGTAGTTTAAAATTAACCTCACTCGGTTAAAAACCTATTGTTCTTTAATTAATTTCCATGTTAACCATTAACCCGGTTTAAGTTCAATGAACTGCCGAAAATAGTGGCCACTCACAATTTTTCAGTTACCCGGTTAATCGTAATTCATTAATTAGAAATAACCCAGTTAACTCTCATAGTGCAGCCGCAGCCATTATATTATTCTACACACAATGCTACATGAATTCATTAATTTTTTCACATTTTGCTCACCGATTAAATTAATAGACTTCATGGAGTTATGTTCTAAGTTAAATTATTTAAATCAGGAGCCCATATTTTCTGGAAGAAAAAATAGGGGGTCCAGATAGGGGTCCAGAAGGGGGTCCAAATGGGGGTCCAGAAGGGACTCCAGAAGGGACTCCAGAAGGGGTCCAGAAGGGGTCAAAGTCCAAAAGGGAGTCCAGTAGGGGGTCAAGATTGGCGGGGTCCATGTTTTGTCTCGACCCAAATAGAGCTCGTATTTTCCAGAAGAGAAAATAGGGGGTCCAGA